AATATTTTGTGATTAAAAACACATTAAATCACCATCTTAATGATTTTTAAGTGTACAGTTTATTAGTGTTAAATATATTCACATTATTGTGCAACAGATTTCTAGAATTTATCATCTTATAACACTAAAGTTTATATACCAACTAAAGATTGATTATTCTCTCTCCTCCTGCCACCCTGGGTAACCACGTTTTCACTTCCTGTGTCTGTGATCTGAGTACTGTAACTATTTTAGATGAGTGGAATCATATAGTATTTGTCATTGTACAACGTTTTTTTTTACACAGCATAATGCCCTCAAGGTGACAACATTTCCTTATTTTCTAAAGTTATATAATAGTTCATTATATGTACATACTACATTTTATCTGTCTATTCATTTGCCAGTAGACATTGGGGTTACCTCTTGTCAATTATAAATAAAGCTGAAATGAAAATATCTCTTTGAGATCCCACTTTGAATCTTGTTGGAGAATTGCTGGAACATATTATAATTGTATTTAAAATTTTTTTAGTAACCTTCTTACTGCTTTACATAATGGGCTCACCACTTTATAGTCCCACCAACAGTGCTCAAGAACTCCAAACATCTCCATATTCTCATTAACAATTGTTATTTTCTGTTCTTTTGACAGTAGCCAGCCTGATAGGTCAGAAGTAACTATCTCATTGTTATTTTGATTGGCTTTTCATAATGATCAATGATGATGAGTATATTTGAGGTGCTTATTGGCCATTTATATATTTTCTTTGAGGAAGTCTATGCTAGTCACTTTCCCATTTTTATTTTTTTAAAATTTTTAATTTTTTGGTACCAGGGATAGAGCTTGGGACCTTGCGCTTGCGAGGCAGGCAGCGGAACTACTGAACTAAATCCCCAGCTACTTTCCCATTTTCAAATTGGGGTTTTTGTTGTTGTTGTTGTTGTTGTTGTTTTTGGTAGTGGGGTTTGAACTCAGAACTTTGCGCTTGTGAGGCAGGCGGCGGCAGCACTGAGCTAAATCCCCGGCCCTGTTTTGTTTTTTGAGACAGGGTCTTGCTATATTGTTTGTGCTGCCCTTGAACTCACTATGTATTCCAGGCTGGCCTCAAACTCATGGCAATCCTCCTGCCTCATTAGCCCTTGAGTACTGGGACTATAGGCATGTGCTACCACACTGACCCTGGGCTACTTTTTATTTTTAAGTTATACAAGTCCCTTATATATTTTGTACATTAACTCCCTATCAGACATATTATTTGCAATTATTTTCTCCCATTCCTTACATGCCTTTTCATTGTTGTGTCTTTTGGTGCATAAAAAATAAGTTTGACATAGGCTTACAGTATTTGTCTGGTTTTTTTCTTTTCTTGGCTAGTGTTTTTGGTAGTATAGTTGGATCATATGGTGGTTCTTTTTTTTTTTTAAGGGACGTCCATACCGATTCCATAATGGTTATACTAATTTTATCTCCACCGGCAGTATAGAAGGGTTCCTTCTTCCTCTCCTATATCCTTGCTAGCATTTATTGTTATTTGTATTCTTGATGATAGTCATTCTGACTTGGGTGAAATGGAATCTCAATGTAGTTTTGATTTGCATTTCCCTGATAGTTAAAGATGTTGAACATTTTTTTTCATATACGTATTGGCCATTTGTTCTTCTCTTGAGAAATGTCTGTTCAATTTATTTGCTCATTTGTTGATTGGGCTATTTTTTGGAGTTTTTCAGTTCTTTCTGTATTCTAGATATTAAGCATCTGTTGGAAGAGTAGCTGGGAAAGATTGTCCCCAATTCTGTAGGCTCTCTCTTCACTCTGTTAGTTGTTTCCCTTGCTGTGCACACTTTTTAAGTTGTAGTCCCAATAGCTGATCTTGCTATCATTTCAGTCCCATTAGTTGATCTTGCTATCACAGGACTCCTGTGCTATTGGAGTTCTAATAAGGAAGTCTTTACCTGTGCCTGTGACTTCAAATGCTTCCCTTTTGTCTTCTTAGAGCAGTTTCAAAGTTTCAGGGAGTATACCTACATCTTCAATCCATAATTGATTTTTGTACAAGGTTAGAGATAGAGATCTAATTTTAATATTCTACATATGGATATCCAATTTTCTGAGCACCATTTGTTAGAGACTGTCTTTGCTCCTGTGTATGCTTTTTGCTCCTTTATCTAGAATCAGATAGCTACAATTGTGTGGGTTTGTTTCTGTGTACTCTGTTTTATTCCATTGGATTACATGTCTGTTTTTGTACCGGTACCATGCTATTTTTGTTACTATGGCTTGGAACTCAGGAATTGTTATACCTTTATCATTGCTCATTTTGTTCAGGATTGCTTTAGCTAATCTGGGGCTTTTGTGCATCCATATGAATTTTAGGATTGTTTTTCCAGTTCTGTAAAGAATATTATAGGTATTTTGATGGAGACTGCATTGAACCTGCAGATTTCTTTTGGTAATATAACTGTCTTAACAGTATTCTGCTGATCCACGAACACAGGAAGACTTGCTATCTTCTAGTGTCTTTTTCAGTTTCTTTCTTCAGTGTTCTGTAATCTTTAACCTCCTTGATTAGTTCGATTCCTAGGTATTTTGTTTTTTTAAGCTATTTTGACTGGAATTGTTCCCTGATTTCTTTCTCAAGTAGTTCATTATTGGTGTATTGAAAAGCTAGTGATTTCTTAGTGTTAATTTTATATCTTGCTACTTTGCTGAAGATCTAGAACTCTTCTGATGGAATCTGGTGGGTTTTCTAAGTGTAGGATCATATCTGCAAATAAGGATAATTTGACTTCTTTTTCTGTTTATATCCCTTTTGTTTCTTCCTTTTGCCTAATTTACCTGACTAAAATTTCAAGAACTATATTGAATAGGAGTGGTGGGAGTGGACATCCTTGTCTTGTTCCTGATGGTAGAAGAAATGCTTTCCATTTTTCCCCATTCAATACTATGTTTGCTATGGTTTTGTTGTATAGTCTTTATTGTGTCAATAAAGGTCTAGGTCTGTGTCAACTAAGTCTTCAATACCTAAGCTTTTATCATGAAAGGATGTTGAATTTTTTCAAAGGCTTCTTTTGTATCAATTGAGATGGTCGTATGATTTTTGTCCTCTATTCTGTTAGTGTGATGTGTTACATTCTTTGATTTGCATATATTGAACCATCTTATAGCCCTGTAATGAAACCAACTTGATCATAATGTTTGACCTTTTTAATGTATTATTGAATTTGATTTGCAAGAATTTTATTAAGGAGTTTTTGCAACTGTATTTCCCAAGGATGTGGGTATATCATTTTCTTTTTATGTGGGATCCGTCTTACTTTTAGTATCAGAGTGACATTGTCCTTAAAGAATGAGTTTGGAAGCATTTATCCTATTTCATGTTGACGTTCCTTAAAGGTCTGGTAAAATTCATCAGTGAATTCATACGTTCCTGGCTTTTTTTGGTTGGAAGACTTGTTCTTACTGCTTCAATTTCATTTCTTATTATTGTTTTTATATCCTCCTGGTTCAACTTTGGTATGCAATATGTATCTTAAAATTTATGTATGAATTCTCTAATTTATTGAAATAAGGTTTTGAAAATAGCCCCTGATGATCCTCTGTATTTCAGTGGTGTCTTTTATAATACATGTTTTATTATTGTCTTGGTTCTTTTTCTCATTGCTAAGACAAAATACCCAACACCCAAAATTAAAGGAGGAAAGGTTTATTTAGTTCTTAGTTTGTAGAGGTTTCAGTCCATAGTCAGTTGGCTCCAAGGCAGGGTGGCATGGCAGAGGGGCATCGCAGAGGAGATACAGTTCCTGGCAAAGCAGGGTAGGCAGAAGGCAGCAAAGCAGGGAAGTAGCAGAAGCAGCAGCAGCAGTGAGGCAGAAGCCTCTCCTTTTTATCCTTTCCAGGCTACCCACGTTTTGGGTGGTGCCACCCACACCCAGGTTAGGCCTTCCCATTATCCACACCCAGAACTATGCTTAACGAATCAGTGGACTAATTTAGTAATTAGGCACTCTTAATCCCACCATTGCACAATTTAATCCCTGCATCACACACTTTAGAACACAGCCACCTCTGAAAAGCCCCACTAGTGAGTGCATGAGGCTTTGTGGGGACATCTAGGCACAAGCCATAACAATTATTTCTAAATATATTTATTTGAATCTAGTTTCTTTTGGTTAGTTTGGCAAAAAGATCATCAAACTTACTTATCTTTTCAAAGAACTCTATTGAGCCCTTGTTCTTTTAGTATCTATTTCATTAATTTCATCTCTGATCTCTATTACTTCTTTACTCCTATTGGGTTTCATTTTGGTTTGCTTATTCCTATATTTTTCTTTCTTTCTTTTTAGTTTTACTTTTTATTTTACTGGTACATTTTAGACATACATGATGATAACATTCATCATTGGGAATTTTTAACTGTACATGATGTATCTTGCTTCTTTTTTTTTCATTCCCCTCCCCTCTTTATCTACAAAAGCCTTGTTGCCATTTTTTTTCCTTCCATTCTTTTTTTTTTTCTTGTCTTATTCCTTTTTTTCTAAAACCTTGAGATATGATTGGGTTATTTATTTGAGCCCTCTGTGATTTTTTTATGTAGGCACTTACAGCTATAAACTTTTTTCTTGCAACTGCCTTTGCTGTATCACAGAGATTCTGATATGTTTTATTTTCATTTTCATTTGATTCTTGGAATTTTTTAATTTCCCCATTCATTTCTTCAGTGACCCACAGATCATTAAAAAATGAACTGTTCAAATCCATGTTTTTTATAGTTTGTCATTTCTCTTGCTGTTCATTTCTAGTTCCATTGCATTGAGATGCAAGAAATTATTTCAATTTTTTTTTGTATTTGTTAAGACTTGCTTTATAGCCTAAAATATGATCTATTGTATCAGTCAGTGTTTATTAGAGAAACAGATATAATATGCAGTATAAAAATATATAAGAATTTACAAGATTGGCTTACAATGGCCACCCACAGAGTTGGATGTAAAAGAGTGCAGAGGGTCTGTCTACATACCGGAGACCGAAGGATACAGTCAGAGGTCTGGAATTCACTGCAGTGTCTCATGTTAATCTGGATCAGGAGGCCCATGGGGTCTGGGATGGAAGGCTGAAGGGTCAGTGCTTGAAGCTGAAGAGTCTTTGCTGAAAGACAGGAGATAACATCCCAAGGTGAAGACAAAGACTGGAGCTCCTCAAAAGAAACAGAAGCAGATCTATCCTTCTTCATTTCTCTTTTATATCATTCAAAGGATAAGTTTCCCTAGGGTGAATCTTCTATACCTTAAGGTATGGAATTGCCGAGCCAATCTAGTTGAGCTTCTCTTACTCAAATTGACACAGTCAGTGATCATATCTATTTTGTTGAATGTTACATGAGCTGCTGCTGCAAAAAAAGTATATTCTGTAGTTGTTGAAGAGAATGTACAATAGATGTCTGTTAAGCTCGCCTTGACCTATGGTATAATTTAACAGTGTGTTTCTTTGTTGTTGTTGTTGTTTGTGGTGTATGTGTGGGGGTCTGGATAGTATATCTCTTGGTGGAAATGAAATATTGAAGACACCCACTATTGCTCTATTGGAGTCTGTGTTCCTTTTGTGAAGTAGTGTTTTATGAAATTGGATACTGCATATATATATGCATATATATATATTTAGAATTGTTATATTTTCTTAGTGGACTATTCCACTTACCAATATGTATTAGCCTTTTCTTCTGAATAATTTTGTCTTTAAGCTCTGCTTTGGTAGATAATTGTCTTTAAGTCTGCTTGCTTTTAGATTCCATTTGCATGGAATATCATTTTCCATAATGCCAATTTTGTCATAAAGGAGCATTGTTGTGAGTATACAATACCCACATATATTCTTTAGAATATTTCTATTGATGAAATATTTAATTTTATGAGTTTTGTTTTGTTTTGTTTCATTTTGTTTTTTTGGTACCAGGGATCAAACTCGGGACCTTGCACTTGAGAGGCAGGTGCCGGAGCCACTGAGCTAAATCCCCAGCCCTTTATGAGTTTTATTATATTAAACAATGAGTACTTAACAGGAAAAATATCAAAAAATAAAGTATTGAATTTTTAATATTGAGTGTCTATAAAAAGCATCAAAATTTTCAACATTGACTGTTTTTTGGTGTTCAAATTCTTAAAAATAACAGTTATAAATTCCTATATGAATTACAATGAAAATATCAATAGAAATCTAGAAAAAAAAATCTTTCATTATCACACCTAAAGCAGTCTTCACACATGACGACGGCATGTTCCATACGCATATCACTTACACTGACAGCACATATGTTTTGCTTTCTTGGCCTTTTTATAGGACATACTTGACGTCTTGCTGTCAGGAAGTTCTTTTTATGTTGTACAATGTGTAGTTAATAGGAACATAAAATATCAATAAAATAAAGTCCTAAATTCTTAATGTGTATTGTGCATTTAGAATAAGCACAACATTTTCACATTAGCTGTGTAGCTGCTTACAAAACCTAAAAGATAACATCAGAAATAAATTCCTATACAAACCACAATGAAAATATCAATAGAACTCTACAACAAAAATAATCTTTGCTTGAGTTGTCACACCCAAGGCAGTCTTCACACATGACAACTGCATGTTCCATGCACATGTGTCACTTACACTGACAGTAGATGTGCTCACTTTCCTTTCCTGTGTGGCAGGCTGTTCTTGTCACCTTTCTTGTCTTCCTGTTTTGTCAGGAGCTTTCTACTATATTATCCAGTGTGCACTTAGCAGGAAAATAAGATATCAATAAAATAAAATAAATATGTAATGAATGCTGAGAATAGACATCAACATTTGCACATCAGCTGTTTACTTGCTTACAAAACCTAAAAGATAACATCAGAAATAAAAACTTATGTGAACTACAATGTAAATAAAAACAAAAGTCTACCACAGAAATAATCTTTGCTTCAACTGTCACACCCAAGGCAGTCTTTGCACATGAAAACTGCATGTTCTATTCACAAGAATCACTTACACTGATAGCACATATGTTTTATTTTCCTGACCTTTTCTGCAGGGCACAGTTGACATCTTTTTGATTTTTCTATTGCCATAGTAAGTCTTTGTGATGCCGAGCCTGCCTTTTCAACTGTCAGCTCACCAGTGTGATCCACAATTTTTTTACATAGTTTCCTGGGCAGAAACATTTTGTTTTTCCTCTGCTGTAAATGATGTCTTATAAGTTCCAGTCCCAAACCTCTTAAGAAAACTTCTCTATCATATTTTGTACTTACTATTTTCTTTGTAAACTATAAAACTATTTATGTGTGAATATGTTTAGGATTGAGTAAAATACAACTATTGGCCAACACTTTGTGTTTTGAGTGACATCATAATTGTTGCATAACTCATCAACAACAACTACTTGGCCTTTGGTTTTGTTGTAGAAAGTTACCATCTCAGGCTTCTGTTTTGTGAAGGTTTCCCTATCTGTATTTTCATTGTGGTGCAATATTAGCAGTACCAGTTTGTTTTTCTTTGCCATATACAAGGCCAGTGTTATATCTTCCTGAAATTCAAAGATTGTACTATACAGGGGCTGGGGATTTAGCTCAGTGGTTCTGGAGCCTGCCTCACAAGTACAAGGTCCTGCGTTTGATCCCTAGTACCAAAAAAAAAAAAGATTGTATTGTACAATTCTCTGTTTTGAAAGTGCAACATTTCATTTGGAAATTCTGCTTTGTTCTTACCCTGGTCAACTTGTGCTCTGTAAGCAAATGTAACATCAATTAGAAACTGGTAAACCAATTGTTGAAGTCACATTCTGATTAGTTTGGGAGATGGGAGCAAGAAGTCTATCCGCAACATCATTTGCTTTATTGCTATATGAATAAGGACCTGGTGGCTGAGTTCCAGGATAAATTTCTAAATTGAAAGCATAATAAATCTTCACACCTACATGGGCATAAATTTTTATGCCATATTTTGAAGAGAGTTTTTGGCATATCCTGCCTGAGCCACAGTGTCTATGAAATGCTTCAAGGTGTTCATAAATAGTCATAAATTCAGATGATGTGTAAATTGACAGTGACCCACAAATCTCTCAAACAATGAGTGGATAGCAGCCAGATTATCAGTTCTTTTTCTTTCTTGGCAGTGGTTTTGTTATAAAACCTCAGGCAGATTTGAAGGAAACCAAATCTCCTCAGTGTCATTGTTATTCTACATACCTCAAGCCCACACACATTGCTTTTCCGTAAGTCTTTTACATTCCTGTGATTATCAAGAGAAAGACCTGCTCAGTACAACGGAACTATGAATGCTTTTAGTTCAGCTAGTGAGTTGTCATAATCAATATTTCTTTCTTTTTTTTTTTTTTTTTGGTTCCTGGGGATCGAACTGAGGACCTTGCACTTGTGAGGCAGGTACGGTGCCACTGAGCTAAATCCCCGGCCCTCAATAAATACATTTTTGTATTTATTACAAAATGTATGGCTGTTGGTGCACACAGAATGTTTCACTTGTATTTCAGCATTTATGTATTTCACAACATCTTGTACCATTTCATCTGTTACAATTTCCAACATCGAAAGGCAGTGTTAGCATTCCATCCAATAGGTTTCACCCCTGCTAAGATCTTCACTATATTTTCAGTCCTAGTTCTAACATTGGATCATTCCATTTGGTCATGTGACCATTTTGTACCATTTCAACCAGTCAAATATGTACTCACATTACTGTTTTCTTTGTTATCTGAATCTAGGAGGTCTGCGTTCCTTGTGTCTGTATCAGTTGGTTCTTGCTCCATTTCACTGTCACAGGAACTTTGGCTTACACAGCCAACATCAAAGTCATTATCACCTTCACCACCCATGCATGAATAACCTGATAATTCACTTTTTTGATCTCCTCCAAAACTTGCAAACCTGGTTTTACATGTGACATTGTCCCCATTTCACTGAATTGGGCTACTTCTGCCAGAAAAATCAAAAGAAAACTTTTTAAAAAAAAAAAATCTTAAATGCACAGAAATTTAGCAATGAGCGTTTCATGGGTAAAACTCACCTGTTGTTGCTTTGGAGCTCCTGTATATACCTTGCTCTTCATCTGCCAAGTGGGTGAATGCACAGATGGGTTTTTGCTTTCCCCAGGGACAGCTACTGTGAGTCACACCCACATTCTATTATGATAAATACATGCTTTCATAACAGAAGAATGAATGGGTGTATTTTACCCACTGTAATGCTCAGGTAAACATACACAAAACCTGTTAGATGCAGCACTATATGGGTAAAAATCCCAGTTGGACCCTTTTTTTTTTTTTTGATGCTCGGAACCTTGCGCTTGCCAGGAAGGTGGTGGAACCACTGAGCTAAATCCTCAGCCAGTTTGACCCTTTTGCACATGTGCATACACCTTCCCAATGGTTGTACCAAGTAGATAAACACAAAGATTGCTTCCTGTATCCCCCAGGTGGAGCTACTCAGACACATAGCCACTATTATGGTAAAGTACAAATTTACAGTAGAAAAGTATGGAATGCATTATTGTAACCTAATGTTATGCCTGTAGGGTTTAAATCCATTATGATGAATGTAATCATTATGTATTGCAAACATATATTAATAAAAAGAAATTTTTAAAAATTTCTTACTATGGGAGTGTGATAATTTCATCAGCCTTGTCATTCTATTGGGGAAGATTTCCAAGATTTCTGTTCAGTCCTTTTTCAGAATCTCTTTCTCTTGAATAACTCCTTTATACCTTGCATTGTCTTCCTTAATTTATTTAGTTGTTTATTTGTATGCTCTTTGAAATCATTAATCATTGTTAAAAAATCAGTCTTTTGAATTCTTTGCGAATTTATCCATTTTGTATCTTTGCATTCAGTTAGTGATGAGTTATAAATCCTTGAAGGAGTCATGTTGTCTTGATTTTTCATTACTTCTTGTGGTTTTTTTAATGTTGAGATTTGTGCATCAGGTGGAATAGAATCTCTTACACTCTTACATGAGGGTCTTCTTAGTGTCCAGCCTTCTTTTGAGGGCTTGATCCCTAGTTCTACTCAAAGAAAACAAGTGGAGTAATGTTAACACAAAGACAAACTAGGTGTTAAAATATAGTAAAAACTGAAAGCAACAACTATATCACTGTTAACAATAGAAAAGAAAGGAGCAATAATAATAAAGTTAAGTAAAAGGCTAAGTATTGATAAAGTTTAAAAGTAATGCAGTAATAATACATGGAAGGGACAGGGATAGGGAAAATGAGTGAAAAGGCAAAATTTAAAATAAGAAAACAAAAATAAAATGAGAAAAAGGAGAAAAGATACCTAACCATCCAATTAAAGAACAAAAATCCTAAATAAAGTTAGATAAAAGAAAAAATAACAAGTAAAAGAGAGAAAAAGAAAAAAAGTAAAAGAAAAGTAAGTCCAAAAAATTCTACACCAACACGTTTAGAGTGGTAACGTTTCTTTCTAGGATCCATAACATTGGAATCCACCAGGTATAGGGGAGGGGTAATGGGCCACAATGGGTCTTGTTTTTTTGGCTGTGCTATATGAATGCAGAGTTCTGTCTGTGCCTTTCCCACCAGGCTTGGCCAATATCTTGTCTGCCTCCGGGCTTCATTCATTCCACAGGCTTTTTATTATGTTTCCAACTGTTCACTGGGAGCCACTGTTGTCCCCAACTACCTTTGGGCCACATGGGCTGGTTAAGGCCCCTCTTCTTACACTTGGGGGATTGGCAAATGTTCAAGCAGTAACATATTCCCAAATATCTTAAGGGCAGAAAGCAAACATATCACTAGGTTCCATGTTGGAGGGAGCAATAGCGAAAATCAACAGTTTACTGTGCTTAATCTTGGTACTTTCAGACTCAGTCCCCTTAGAAAAATCACATGTGACATGCCTTTTTCCTCACCACAGAGTTGTTGCCAATCCTGATGCCCTCCACAGCTTGAGCTCTTCCCTACTATAACTTTTCAAGTCTGAAACTGACCCTCTCCCTCTCTATACCCCTCTCTTGTGGCTGTCTCTAATCCAATCACTGTGGCAGAGTTTCACCAGGAACCTTGAAGTGTGGTGGTTTTGATCCCTAGAGTAACTCTGCCTCAAACAATAAGCCACCTCTGAAGATGGCTCCTGGTTACATCCCTCAGTGATACTGTAAGAACTGCTGTGGCTTTCTTCTCCAAAGTTAGTATGCTGTGACTATTAATCATGATTGTAATTTGACTGGATTAAGATGCTTATCAGATTAGTAAAGTGAACTTGGTATGTCTATGGGGGAGATGTGACCTTGAGGACTATATCTGTTCTCTAGTCCCTTCCTCTCTTGCGCTTTCCCCTTGTGCTGGTTCCTGGCCACCAGGAAGAGAGACGATTTCCCTGATCACGCCCTTCCACCATGATGTTTCTGCTTTGTTGCCAGCTGATCATGGGTTAAATCTCTGAAACTCTGAACCAAATTAAACCTTTCCTCCTTAAGTTGCAGGTTTCAGATATTTTGTCCACCAAGAAAACTAAGCAATACACCTACCATACAGGAGGGGTCACTTTTAGATCAAATCCTCACACTGGATTTACAGCTTGCAATATCCATGGGTTTCTCCTATGTCTGGGGCTGCTGGTCTGCTCTTCATCACTGGGTCTGCTGGCCTGTTCTGGGCTTAACTTGTGCTTGCAGAGTTATCTGCCATCTACCTTTGTTTCTTAATATCATTTTTTAATGTTATTGTTTATTTTGCTGTTAGTATTGCTTTCACTGCATCTCATAAGTTTTGGTATGTTTATCTCTACAGATATTTTCTAAATTCCCTTCTGATTTCTTTGAGCCATTGTTTGTTTTAGTCTGTGTTATTTAGATGTTAATGGATTTTCTTGGTTTCCTTCTGTCTTTGATTTATAGGTTCATTTCACTGTGGTTGGAGAACATACTTGTATGATTTCAGTCTTCTTAAATTTGTTAGGAGTATTTCATGACCTAACATACGGTCAGTCTCAGAGAATATTTCATATACACTTGAGAAAAATACTTATTTTGTTGTAATTGGGTGAAATGTTTTGTGTGGTGGTTCTATTGTATTTTTTCCCCTTTTGGTATTGAGGATCACTCCTGGGCCTTTGCAGTGAGTTACATCTCTACCCACCGCTTTTTGTTTGTTTGTTTTTGGTGTTTTTTTTGTTCTGGGGATTGAACTCGGGACCTTGTGCTTTCAAGGCCCGTTTTGCTTTTTGAGACAGGATTTCTCTAAAGTTGCTAAGTTGCCCAGGCTGGGTTTGGACTTGTGATCCTCCCTCACCCTTCAAGAGTGCTGGGATTACAGACATGCACCTTCATGTCTATTCAATTCTTGAAAGTGAGGTGTTAAAGTCATCCATTATAAATATGTTGCTTCCTATTTCTACCTTCAGTTCTTTCAGTGTTTGCTTCATATATTTGGGTGTTCTGAGGTTAGGTGTGTATATATTTATCACTGTTATATTTTCCTGGTGAATCGTTCATTTTATCATTATGTAATATCCTTCTTTGTCCATCATACAGTTTTTGCCTTCAAGTCTATTTTATCTGACTAGTAATAGCCACGTGCCCTGCCCTTTGTTTTCCATTTGCATAGAATGTCCTTTTTGACCCTTGCACTTTTAGATTATATGTGTTCTTAAATATAAAGCATTTCTTGTAGGTACTATATATTGGGTGTTGTACTTTAGTCTCTTCAACCAGTTTGTCTTTTAGTTACTGTATTTAATACATTTACCTTTAAAATTATTACTGATAGGGAAGGGCTTGCTGTTCTGTTAAATTTTTTCCATCTGTAATTTTTCTCTATTTTCTTCTTGATGTATTTGGAATTTATTAGTTATTTTTTCATATTTATTTTGTTTTTGTTTTTTGTTTGTTTGGGGTTTTTTTGGTACCAGGGATCGAACTCACGACCTTGCACTTGCGGGGCAGGCAGCGGAACCACTGAGCTAAATCCCCGGCCCTGTTGGTTATTTTTTGTAGTGATATGTGTTGATTCACTTCTCATTTCCTTTCATGTATACTTCCTTGCTGTTACCCTCATAAAACATTACATAAAACATGTTAAAGCTCTAACAAAACTATGTTAAATTGATAAAGTAACTTGATTCACAAAAACTCAACTATATTACTGTCTGCCTCTCATTTTATGTTATTGATGATGCAAATTGCAAATTACCTCATTTTACATTGTATCCATTGCCATAAATTCATTATTTTTCAGCCTTTTAAATATTTTTATACCAGATTTATATGTGGTTTACTCACCTACATCACAACGGTATGGATTCTGTATTTGTCTTTATATTTACCATTATCAAGGACATCATTTTGTCATGTGGTTTTGTCCTCCTGTTTGTCATCTTTTCATTTCAACTTGTAAGACTTCTTTCGGCCTTTCTTGTAGCGCAGGATTGATGGTGATAAATTCCTTTAGCTGTTATTTATCTGGGGAAGCCAGTTTTTTTTCTTTTTTGACAGATAATTTTGCCAAATAGTGTTTTTGATTGGTATCACTGTCCCCCTTTCATTACTTTAAATATATAACACCACAGCCTTATAACCTGCAAGGTTTCTTGCTAAGTCAGCTCATAATGTAGTAGGAGCTCTCTTGTATGTGGTGAGATGCTTTTCTTGCTCTTTTCAAGAATCTTAATCTGTCACTTTTGACAGTTAATTATGATGTGTTTTAGTATCAGTCTCTAGACTTTCTACTAGTTGGAGTTCTCTGAGATTCTTGAATCCATTTATTTCCTTAGATGTGGAAACTCTTCAACCAGTATTTATTCAGAAAGTTTCTCTGCTCTTTGCGTTTTTCTCCTTCTGAGATTCCCATAATTTTCATGTTTCTCTGTTTGATGTTCTCCCTAAAGTCCATCAGGTTTCTCTCTGTTTTCCCTAATTCATTTTTCTTTATGTTCCTCTGCCTCAGTAATTTTGAAAGTCTCACCTTCAAGCTGATTCTTCTTCTCAAATCCCTCCAAATTTTTTTCTTTTTTTGTTACTGGGGATCGAACTCAGGTCCTTGCTCTTGCGAGGCAGGCGGTGGAACCACTGAGCTAAATCCCTGGCCCCTCCAAATTTTTTTTTTCAATTTATTCATTGCATTTTTGAGTTCCAAAATTTATTTGGTTCTCTTTGTTTCTTTTTTAC